ATTTTGTTATTCATTCAATTTATAGTTTTCGGTCTTTTTAGATTCCTATGTCCTTGGAATTCAATCTTTGTAGATTGTCTGTGTCAAGGAATTTACACTTAAATTCTAGGATACCCAATATTTTGGGCATAAAATGATGCATAGTATTTTCTTGTGAACTTTTGTGTATGTTGTATCTCTTGTAATGTTTTCTGCTTCATTTCTAAATGTATTTTTAAAGCTTCACATTTTATTTTCTAGCTTGCATTTAAAATGTATTTTAACCAATATGTGAAAACAAAAATTGCACATATGAGGGGAACTGTGTAATATTTTCATACATGTATATATTGTATATATTTTATAATGTTTGAAAGAGATTATATACCTCTGTCTCCTAAACTTTTAGTTTTAATTTTAAAAGAGATTATATATGTTTGTCTCCTAAACTTTTATTTCTTTCTGATGAAAAGTTTTCCACTCCTTTCTCTAAGGAGTTTCCTAGCTTTCTCTAATTGACAGTATATTATTATTGTCTATAGTTCCCTTCCTCTCCAGTAGGGCACCAGAATGAAGGAATATGGGTGAACTAGGAGAACATGCAGTAAGTGAAATCAGCCAGGTGTACAAAGATAAATATTTCATGATCTCACTCATGTGTGGATTTTATAAAGTTGATTTCACAGAGATTGAGAGGAAAATAGTGATTGCCTGAGGCTGAGGGAGAGCTGGGAAATTGATCAGCAAAGAATACAAAGTTCCAGTTAGAGATCAGAAATAATATAAATGGATAGCTTGTACTGCACCAGGACTACAGCTAATGATGACAATATGTATCCTTAAACTATTCTGAGTAGACATTGAATGTTTGCCCCACAAAAATTATAAGTATGTGAGCTAATATTTATGTTCATTTTCTAGATTTAACAGTTTAATAATGTATGATACTTTCAAACATTGTTTGTTATGTGTACTAAACAGTGAATTTTTTCTGACAATTTAAAAAACAAGCAACGTTGATCCCCTTCCCAGTTGCAAATGGTCTATCTCCCAGGTTCCTATTGTGTTGGTAATTTTACACATTGCTGGGACACAGTGCCTGACATCCACAGCTTAAAGAATAATGGTTTACTTTGGCTCACAATTTGTAGATGTTTCGGTCCAGTCAGCTGGCTCCAAGGCAGAACCACCATGGTGGAAGGACCTGGGGAGAGGGAAAAGAGGGAAAGTTCATGAAAGGAGCTGCAAAGGAAGATCTACCCTTTGAGGTCTTGCCAACAGTGGCCCCACTTCTTCCAAGAAGATCCCACTGCCTATAAGTAAGGTAGCAACACTGCCTCCAAAATCCAATCACATTCCTAAAGCCCCACCTTTAGGCTCATGAAGCTTAGGAAGACATCCAGATATACACCATAACTACTGGTGTCTACCTTTTATTTTACTCTTTAATTTATTTAAAGAGATGGAGAAAGAGCAAGGGAAGAAAGGGGAGATAAAAAAATTAAAATGTGTTGTGCACATGTACCAACTCCCCATGATGAAAGTAATCATTGTGTACTGCAAACATGTAGTAATAATATTTTTTAAATATTAAAAAAATAAAAATAAAGTTTAAAAAAAGAAAAATTAAAATGATAGGCCTTTATTCTTCATAGCAGTGTAGGTCCATAAAATCTACAAAGTTTTGAAGCCCATTTATGACAATAGTGTTTCTGCGATTGCTTCACTGAAGAAATCACACTTTTTAGAGTAAGATCTGACTTTGAAATCAAATTAAAGAATAAAAGGATCTACTGGGAGAAAATAGACTTATCTCACTCCATGGTACCTGCACAGATACAAAATTTAAAAGAAATTATTCCATTCTGCACTCTTCTTTGTGCCACAAGGGAGCTGAATTGTTTGGAGAATGGAAGGACAATGGAATAATGTAATTAATTAGCAGCTCTGACAATTCAAACCCTAAGATGCTAGAAAGTATAAACACAACATGTTCCCCCCTCCTGGATTCTCTGATCCCAGCCTCCATGAAAATATAAGGGGGCGTCCTAGGCACAGATGATGGAGGAGGAAACCACTGGAGAGAATCATGTGTGCTACTGAGGGCAGGTGGTGTAAGGAGAAAAGGAGACAAGGTGGGTATCAGGCTTTCCCTCTAGAATAATCATGCTGAGAAATTCCAATATTCCTGTAGCCTGTGAAGGTGACATCTTTGTACTTTGAAGGAAATTGACTTTCCAGTAACTCTTATGATTTTCACACATTTGGCTCCTTTTGTCCTTCTGGACCTTAGAGACTTTTTCCAATAAGTTATTTTCTGGAGAGTATTCAATTCTTATTTGCTCTTTCTTAAAAGTTGTGTCCTCCTGTTAGATTTTCTTCATTCAATTATATGTTCATTAACCAAGCCTTGAATACCTATTATGCAAGTGGTATTTTCTATTTTGTTTCAAGTTAAGGTTTCTCTATTTTATCCTCTATTTTCATAGGCAGATTCCCCTTAATTAGAGCCTTATTCATTGCATGGTATTGGGGTTATCATTTCGTCTTACTGTTCACAGTAGCATACAAATACTGTAATTGTTTCTGATGTTTAATAATCATTCCAATTTCTTTTTACCATACTAATCCCTCTACATATTGAGGAAAATATTGAATGATTATAGTTCCAGAGACAGTCTTGGCATTTTCATAAAATTAGCACAAATATTCTAGTGTTTTCATGTAACATTTTCTCTAGCCTCTGTTTTGAGAGTAACCATTGTCTATGAAGTTAGCAAAAAACCTCTTTGGTCTCTTTGTTTACTCACAGTCTTCACACTGGATACTAGTCACATAAATGCCTGTTAGATTTACTGAAACATCATTTCATATTGTAATTATAGTTGAAATTTTTTATTCATTGACTTATTTAATCATGAATTATATTAACCAGCATCCTTGCATTAAGCAGGCTTCCATTCCTAAAATTGTTATTCTTCACTCATTAATTGTTCCTCTTTTAAAATAGCTATGGCTGGATTTTACTTAACTTTGGTAATCAGTTTAGGATTTAGGTTCAGGCTTGTAATCAGCTTGAGGATTTATTTCTGTATTATAGCAGACATTTTGGTTGGCTATTTAGTATACATTAAACATATGTACTTATCCAGAATCCACAATGTAACAGATTCCTTCTCACTCCCTGCAAGAAAATATTGATAGTGACAGTCACACCCTTGGTACTACAAATAATAGAATATTCTCCCCCTGAAAAGAACCTCAGTGTCTGATAGGGAAAAAACAACTTTTGTTCCCACAACCTAGACTACTATTTTCTCTCCTCTTCTCCTCTGATGGGCAATGACTCATCTCTTCTCTCTCAGCTGAAAATTTCCTGCTTTAGGAAAGACTTTTCTATTCACCATGACAGAATAAACATGCTCAAAGATTCTTTTGTCTTGAATTTAATTAACAATCTCTAGGCATTCATAATACTAACACTTTAAGTGAGGCAGAATGTAAAAGTTCATTACAAATATGTATTTTACATCTTAATCTTTAAAAGAGAGTTTTATTTGTATAATTTGGGGTTATTTTTGTCAAGTCTATCAATACATATTTTGGCCATTACAGCTACTAATCTAACACAGTACATCCTGACTCCAGGATTTTTATTTTATTCATTGATTTTGATGAGATGCTTTTCTCTCCTCCTTTTATCCATGTAATCCACATGTTTTTTTCTACTTGGAAGAATTTCCTGGGGAGGTATTCTGTGAAAGAAAAAGCCACAGCAATCATCACTCATGAGAAAAGGTGTATGTCAGCCAAAAAAGGGGTGAGAAGCCTGATGTGTTTATATGGATCAGAATCCCATCTATGATATCGGCAGTAGGATAAGGAAGTATTGGTTAGTGAGAGTCATCCAAAACATTTTCACTGAAAAGTGAGGAACTGAAGTTGATATTTAGGAATGGACCATTTTATCACAGAAACTAAAGAAAAGCAATTACAAAAAGGCTTTCAATTTTGTCTTTAGTCCTAATGTGAAGTGAAAATTTATGTCTCCTACTGTAGAGGTGAGAGAGTTTAATTTTTTCTAAAAATGAAAAAGTTGTTATGTTCCTGCATTCTGATTCAGGAACTCTTTCTCAAGAACTGAAATTTACTTCACAGTTCTGTATTCTGTGTTTCCCCCCAAATGAGACCTAACTGGAAAATAATCAGTCTTGAAAACTTGAGCTAAAAAATGAGAGCCTCAATCACCCTGCCTTACCAGCATTAAGGAGCAGCCACCTAGCAAGTGGATAGTGAGATTTAACCTTCCTGCTTCTGGGTGTCACCATAGAAACAACCAGCATTCATTTTCCAGTTAGTTCTTATCTTCCTGGAAATACTGTCTGTTTGTACCTTGGGAGAGATATATATCAAAAGCCATTATGATAAAAAGGAGAAAAATATTAATGTAACAAGGGTAGTTTGGACACTCGTTAACTGAGACTATTCCTCTAAACAGAGTCAATTTTGAACATTGCAATGTTTAAATATTAGCCTCTGTCTTAGAAAGAAAAAACATAAGGCATTACAAGTCAGCTGCAGCATCAGGAAAAATGCCAACTCATACAATAAAGGTTGTTCAAAGGTGTTAAAATACCTTTGTATTCATTAGAGTAGAGGTATTAAAATAAAGAAGTATGGAGGTTATCAATGAATGTACATGAAATGTCTTCAACTTTCCTGGAAAGGTGATAGCAAACAACAAATTTGGAATACACCCATATATTCAAATTTGAAAGTTGAAACGACTGACACAATGCTATAAAAATAAGAAATTTCAGCTACATTACAGAAAGTGTAAGTGGTTATACAAATTTAAAAATGAATTGAGCTACAGCTTGGTGGTGGGAACCACTGACATTTGCTCGGAACAGGTTGAAGGAGGTCCATCCAGAGGTGATACTGTGAATGGTGCCTGCCTGTCTTTAAGGTCCTGTTCACTGAAGGTTTTTATTTTGTTCTCTGGAAGAAAAACCAGTGACATGGAAGGAGGAAACCACACAGGTGCAACACAATTCCTTCTGCTGGGCCTTTCAGTTGATCCTGAGCTGCAGCCCTATCTCTTTGGACTGTTCTTGTCCATGTACCTGGTCACAGTGCTCGGGAACCTGCTCAACATCATGGCCACCACCTCTGACTCCCACCTTCACACCCCCATGTGCTTCTTTCTCTCCAACCTGTCCTTTGTGGACATCTGTTTCACCTCCACTACAGTCCCAAAGATGCTGATGAACATCCTGGCACACAATAAAGTTATTACCTACACAGAGTGCCTCACTCAGGTGTATTTTTTAATGATTTTTGTGGGACTTGATAATTTCTTACTGGCAGTGATGGCATATGACCACTTTGTGGCAATCTGCCATACTCTGAAATATGTGATCATCATGACCCCCCTGCTATGTGTCCTGCTTTGTCTGATATCCTGGACCATCATTTTCTGCTTCTCCCTGCCTCATATCATCCTGTTGATGCAACTGACCTTCTCCACTGGCACTGAAATCCCACATTTCTTCTGTGATCTGGCTCTGCTTATCAACCTTGCCACCTTTGATATTCTTTTCAAGGTCAATGTGGTCCTATTGTATGTGTCAATTATCCTGCTGGTTGTGTGTCCCATCACTGGGATCCTCATCTCTTACTCTCAGATCATGTCCTCCTTAGTGAGGATGTCCTCCTCTGAAAGCAGGTATAAAGCATTTTCCACCTGTAGGTCTCACCTCTGTGTGGTCTCCTTGTTCTATGGAACAGCACTTGGAGTTTGCCTCAGTTCAGCTGTTACTCATTTTTCCCACGAAAGCTCGTTTGCCTCCCTAATATACACTGTGGCAACTCCAATGCTGAACTCCTTCATCTACAGCCTGAGGAACAAGGATGTGAAGGGAGCCCTGGGGAGACTCCTCAGCAGAGCAGCTTCTGTTCCTTCATGGTCCACTCACTTTCCAACTAATGGGTCATTTTGTCCACTTAGGCAATGCTGTGAATTTACACATATTGTGTGTTAATTTGATATTTCTCTCATTCACATAATTTCTAAAGTGAAAAGACTGAACATGGTATGGATTCTAACTGGAACATTATTCTGAACATACAGTGCTTCCTTTGGTGTCCTATTTATTTCATAAAATCAATGATTATATTTTCAAAATAAAAGCAGAAATTTACCTTTGAAGACAGGTTTGCACAATTTTTTTCATAGTGAAATAACGCTATTATTTGCCTTTTCTTCATATTTTTTCTTTCCTTCTTTTCTCCCTTTTTCCCTTTCCCTTCTACCTTCATTTTAAATTTTTTTCCTGCCTCCCATTATTCTCTTTTTTTCTCCTCCCCCTTCATTTAGACTCTTTTATTTGATAATGCTTACTTGCTGCATTTCTTTTTACTAGATGAATAATATCGTGGTATGTATACCCACAATCCACTTATCCATTTATCCATTTCTGGACATGTGGGCGACTTTCCTTTTTTGAATATTTTGAACAGTGCTACAATAGATATGCATGCACATTAATTGTTTCAATACAGTACACATCACATAATGGTGCTTCAGTCAATGATAGACAGGATGTCCTGTGATGGTCCTAAAACAATGATGGTGAATCTTTTGCAGCTTTCAATGATACAAGTAACCTGCTGAGGCATCATGCCACCGCTGAGCTAAAACATTTTATTCAGTGATGTCCTAGTCAACTTTGTGTAATCATACACTATCACATTCTCACAATGACAAAAATACCTAATGAAAGTTTTCTCAGAAACTACTCATTAATCTTCCAATAAAAACTGCTGGGTTATAAGCTCATTTTATGTTTAATATCCTGAAGAATAACCACTTTTTACACTGTAATGTATAAAGGTTCTAACAACTTCTCATTATTTCCAATACTTTTAATTTTCTGTTTGTATCAAAATTATAGCCTCTGAATAGGTGTTGTAGTAGTCAACTTTCCTGACACCCACAACTTAGAGGAAAAAACATTTAATTTGACTTATGTGTTCAGGGAGTTCAGTCTATAATTGTCTGGCTATAGGGAAGAGATGTGGTGGAATGCATGTTGGAGTACAGCTGTTTGGTTCATGGGCACAGAAAAGCACAGCAAGTGAAAAGGGCCAAAGAAGGAGAGATCATTATAATACCTAAAGCCATGCCTCCATGACCCCCTCAGACACACTGAGAAGTGTGCTCCACCAATCCCCTGGGAGGTTCCCAAGTCAAACAATTTGACATAAGCTTAACTGTCACAGGTGTGAAGTAGTATCTCATTGTGCTTTTGATTTGAGCTATCAATGACTAAACATCTTTCACAAGTGCTTCTTGGCAATTTCATTATAAAATTTTAAAAGAAAAAAGTTATTTCTCCTCTCTTACTAAAATTTTAGGTTCTTTAATGAATACTTACCCAATTCCATTATTTAAAAAGTTTTATTTCTTTCAGAACTGATTAGTGTTCCATTGAATATACAGAATCTGCCAAAAATGTATACACATTTAAGGAAAAGAAAAACTTATATAACTATTTTAATATAACTATTTTAGTACTAAATTTATTGAGACATCATGTCAACGTACAAGTTACCTTTGACCCCTACAATTACAAGAGATGCTCAGAGTGATGGCCTTTAGCTTCCAGACATTTACAATACTGGAAACTACTGCATTGGTAACCTTACATTTTAATGTGCTACATGTAACTCTTTAATTCATTTTGAATTGCTTTCTATGTACAGTGTAAGATAAGTGTCTAATTTCATTCTTCTTTATATGGATATCCAGTCCTGCCTCCATCATTTATGGAGGAGTTTGTCCTTTTGTCATGGTGTATGCCTGGAACCAGGGTAAAACATCAGTTAATCATAAATTTGTGAATTTATGTCTTGGCTCCCTATCCCATTCCACGGTCTTGTGCCAGTTTTCATGTCAGTACCATATACTGTTTCCTTTATAATATCTTTTGATGCATTAGATTGCCGATTCTGATGCAATTCTAATTGTTATTTGTGTTTTTGCTCCAGGTTCAGTGTCACATATAAGTATGTGTCACTCCATTTAAATGTAATGGAGAAATTCTTCTGTTTTTAATCTGTGAGTTTTGTGATTTTAGATATATGTAAGCTATTGATCCAATTTAAAATAAATTCAGTTTAAGATATGGGCTACAGGTGAAACTACTTTATGTATAATTTGTCTTCAGAAAGTTTCCTTTTAAAAATTTTATTTTTAAGTATTTAACTGACAAATAGAAGTGTACATATTTATGGTGCACAGTATAATATTTCAAAACATATATAATGTGTGATGAACATATCAGGGTAACTGGCACGTCTCTATCCTGAAATATGTATCATGTTCAGAACATTTGATTTCCTATTAGATTTTTGTTAAGTAATTAATATATGTAATTATTGTCAACCCTACTTATCCTACTGGGCTACAAAACATTAAAAGTTAACTTTCATCTCACTTGTGCCCCTGTACCTATTTACCACCCCCCTACCAGGTCACACCCCTACACACACACACACACACACACACACACACACACACACACAAACACAGTTCTCAGCTGTCTCTGGTAAACACTATTTTATTTCAGTGAGATTCACTTTCTTACCCTCTACACATATGTAACAGTGAGCAATATTTGTCTTTTATGCCTTATTTATTGCACTTAAAATAATGTTCTCCAGTTCCATTCGTGGAAGGCTTTATTCCTTTTGTTGGAAGAAACATATTTCTAATTGTAAAAATTCCACATTTTTATCCCTTCATCTATTGGTGGGCACTTCAGTTGATTCCCTATCATGACGAGTGTAAAGAGCTGCAATGTCTCCATATATTGAGAGATAGGGAGCTAGTTTCATTCTAAGTGTGGACATCATTTCTCTCATAATCACTATTGAAATCACCTCTCCTTTGCCAATGTGTATGTTCTTGATGCATTTGTTAAAGAAGTGTAAAGGAGGGGAATAGCGGGGTCAAATGGGACCTCTAGCCCTAGTTCTTTGTGGTATCTCCATACTGACTTCCACAGTGGTTGCACCAGACTGCACTCCCACCAACAATGGAGAAGGGTTCCTTTCTCCCCACAACCCCGCCAGCATTTGTTATTTGTTGATTTCTTGATGCCAGCCATTCTTTCTGGGGTGAGGTTGAATCTCAGTGTTGTTTTCATCTGCATCTCTCGAATGACCAGTGATATTGAACATTTTTTCATATATTTGTTTGCTGCTTTAACTTCTTTGTCTGAGAAATGTCTGTTCATTTCAGATGCCCATTTTTGAACTGGGTCTTTGAATTTGGGAGGTCTGATTTGTTTCAATT